CATGTGTATTAGCTGTGGAACATGTGTAAAAGAAGGCATCATTCCTTCAGAATGGCATTTCAGGAGTTCTGAGTTACTCATGCAAAAGTGCACGCAGCTGGTGGCGCGCGGTGTCAGCCTGCGCCCTGGAGCCTGCTCCCTCCCCACCCCACTGGACTGACTTCAGGATGGGACTGGGGTGAGGTAGGCAGTTCCCCCAAAGAGCCAAGATGCACACAGGCTGTGTGTGTCTTCAGGGGTGCCAAGCACCACTCAAGCAGAGCACTGAGCCCACAGTAGACAGGAACAAAGTTGGGAAAGTCAGAAGCCAGGTGGACCCAGGAATGGAGCTGGAAGAAAAGGGCTGAGCATCAGAGAGAAGGAAAAATAACAATTCCTGAGAACAGGGCCAGGGTGATCCAGGCCGCTTGCCTGTTTGAGTGTGGGCCAGCCTGATTTCAAGGCTCAGCCCTGAGATGGGACACACAGAACTTCTGCAAGAGGGCAGAGCTGGCCAGTGGCCACGTGTCACTGTGTCCCAGTCAGGAGGGCTGGGGGCCAGCGAGCAGGGGGATTCCGGGCATTTCATCTCCATCATGTAGGCCGGTGCCAGCAAGGGTCTCTTCACTGGTGTTGGCCTCATACATCCCAACCAACACCGTGGTGCCAGTGCTGAACCCAAGATCCCAAATGTCACCATCCTCATCCGGACCATAGGATAGAGCTCCAAACCCTCAGCCACAGTGGAAGGGAAGGGCCATGATCTTGGTTGGGCAAAAGAGACCCATCCCGGTCTTTAAACAAGAGGTTAGTGTGCTGCTGGGGCTGCGTCTTCACTGCCTGAGCCCACTCACAGAGCAGAGGCCTGGAGAGAAATCATCCCTTCATGTCATTGTCTGAGTCCCCTCGTCACCAGCCCTGCTGGAGCAGACGGTAAAAGATCCGCCTGCAGTGCAGGGGACCCAGGTTCAATCCCTGGGTCGGGAAGATCCCCTGGAGAAGGAAATGGCAACCCACTCCAGTAGTCTTGTCTGGAGGATCCCCGGAAGACTACAGTCTATGGGGTTGCAGAGAGTCGGACATGACTGACTAACACACACAGTCACCAGCCACCTAGTCACCCAGCCAAGTCACCTTTCAGTTATGGAACCAACACATTCCATTTAATTACAATGGCTCTGTGTTAAGAGTTCCATATCTCGCAACCATGTTCTGACAATAAGGTTGACATTCCAGACCCACACGGGCTGGGTCCATGGGTGTCTCAGAACACCAGCTCGCTGTTCACTAAAAGCCCTGTCCCTCTCCACTGACCTCCTCGTTCTCTCAGGAAAGCCTGCCCGTTCTTCAAGGACCGTGCGCAGTGTCTCTGTCTCTGTGAAGCTCTCCTGTTTCAAGGCTGAGTCTACAGTCTCAAGGGGCATCCTGTGCCCCTTGTCAGGTTTCTGCCTTCCGGAGGGCCTTGGTGGGGACAGAAGCTTGTGACCCATTTAGGGGCTGAGACACCTGTGGGCAAGACGTTGGCCGAAAAGACTCTCTAGTTAAGCAAACTGCTCTCCCACAAGACGCAACAGCCTCTTCCTCTTGTCCCCAAGGCTCTCTCCCTGGCACCCTTCCCCTCACACACACCGCCTTCTAGCTGTGATGGGTCAGCAGGGACTGGGGCTCCTGCCTTCCAGGACCCCGGGCTCCACACGCCCTCAGAGTCTTCCACTTGCCAGGCTGACCCTCCTTCAATCACCAGTCATTCAGATAAACCCTCTTTTCTCTTCACAAAATCCTTCCAGGGCTTTCCACTGCTGCTGGTCCCTGCAGTGGGCCCCCCTGCCTTCCCGACCTCTTCTCTCACCACATCCTGGCCGCCAGCTGTCTCTCCTCCTGCTTTTCATCAGCAGGAACTCCCCCCACCCCACTGCCGACACCCTCTCAGGCGAAGCCCTGCCTGTCCAGGACGCCTGAGGTAGGAACCCCTCTGGGCATGGCACGTTCCCAGCTGTCTGTTAGTCACTTCTCTCTTTCCACGGACGAGTCCATCTCCTAGACTAAGAATGTAAACTCTTTGGCGAACGGCCTCTGAAGCTCATCACATTTCACTCACGGAGACTAAAACAGTGCTTTTTATGCAAAGCACCTTTCATTAAGTGTCTGAAATGAAATGAGAAGAACACATTCCCAGCTCCTGAGAAAGACGTGTACTCTTCCCAGTAATAATAATAATAATAATAATAATAATAATGTCAAGTTGGCTGCTCCTTCCAGGGAGCCCTGAGCTCTGTCACCACGATGCACGCTGGGGCCCGGGTGCCAGCTGACACTGTGAATGGATAAAGGGAACATGGGGAACGGTCAGGGATCATTCCCCATGACTTCTAAAGAAAGTGCATCTTCTTCTGCAAGTCCTTGCCCTGAAGTCTTTGCATCCCCATACACAGGCTGGACTTCTGAAGCCACACTCTTCTGCAGCTCAAGGGATATAGAGGGAAGAGCTCAGGGTCTGAAGTCAAGACCTGGGGGGAGGCATCCTTGGTTCCCAGCCTTGGAACCTCGGGGGGGAAGTTGTTAGGATTAGAGGACTGTTTAGGTGCAGATGCCTCACAAGGAGCAAGCAGGTTCAAGTTCCTTCCAACCTTTTAAAAATTATGGCACACTTCCTCAATTTCTGTTGTGTGTGTGTGCGCGCGCGCGGCCATGCCAGTGTGTGTGTGTGTGTGCGTGCGCGCGCGTGCATGGCCACGCCACAGAGGATCTTAGTTTCCTGACTAGGGATTGAACTTGTGCCACCTGCAGTGGAAGTGTGGAGTCCCAATCACTGGACCATCAGGTAATCCCTTCTTCAATTTCTCCTGCTTCTCCAACAGGCAGGGAACAAACCAAATTGGAGAAACTGGGACAGAAAAATGACAGGGAGCCATTGGCAATTACATTCTTATTTGTGGTTTCTGGTTTTTTTGTTTTGCTTTTTAATTTTTTTTTCTAGGAAAAAAAAAAAGAACACAACCAGGGGAGTTTATATGACAACTATCAGTGTCAGAAGGGCAGGGGAAAAGAGAAAGAAAGACTAGAGGCTTGGGGAGCTAATAAAAACTGGATTCTGAACCACATGGAATGGCTCACAGGGTCCTGGGTGTGGGTCCTCGTGAGATGACCGGTCACTTTGGCATGCGTGTTCGGTGCCCGGGCTCCTGGTCTGCCAGCTCAGACCCCCAGGGTCAAGAGAGCTGTCCATGCCCCGGAAATCTTCCAAGACAAACTCGCACATTACAGCAAGATGAGACTGATTTGAGCTTCATGACTGTGCTCAGGTATCACACATTCTTGCCTGAGAGGAGAGTCCGGAAGAGTGTGAGTCACCATGGGACGCTTTGGCATCACAGAGCCCCAGGCGGCCGCTCACTCAGGCGCAGGCACGGCTTTCACCACCCCCACGGACATCTGTCCAGACACCCTTGGGCAGTCTGGCCACGGAAGGACAGGGGACATGACAGTCCCTTCGAGTCACAGGTTGGCGATGGTGTCCGTTCTCCAGTCTTACTCTGCCCATGGCCTGTGAAGGACACAAAGATCTGTCTGCTTTTCTGCTCAATCCTCGACAGATTCCCAAGAAGCATGGCCATTTGGATCTGCACCGAAGCTCTCAGATTTCTCCCACTTGATACCCCAGGTCTCAGGGCAGAAAACTCAGCTGATCCAGGGCCACATGTGGCAAACAAGACAGCCAGTGATGGCCGGGCAAGAAAGAGCTGGTAGCGCACTGTGAGACCAGAGTACATTCAAGAAGGGGAGAGGGGTGTGCAGCAAGCCACCGCCCCGAGTCACAGTCCAGAGGGCCCGTCGAGCCTGGAGGACACAGGCGGTCTGCCCATCTTGACCAGGCAGCTCCAACGCCTCACGCGGCAGGGTCACCTGGGCGTGGTTCCTATGTGGAGTGCAGCGGGCTTCCTGCCCTGCTGCCCCAGCTTCTACACGGAGGCCAGGTTATGTCTCAGCGCTGCAGTCCTGAGGAGCACCACGCTGGCCAGCCAGCCAGGCCACAGTCCTCAGCCCGCCGCCGGGCAATGATGCAGCTCTGGGTCCCACAGAAGGCCCCCAGGAGCCACGGTCACTGGTGGGGGGGGCGGCGGGGAATGGAGGAGGGCTGCATTCTGCCGGGAGAGATTCGGGGAGCAAAGGCCAGGGACTGGAAAGGATGGGGCCCCAAACGCTGCAGGGCCAAAAGGGATGGGATCAATAGACAACGTTCTTGTCACTAGTTTAAAAACAGAGTGTTGGTGGTGTTGCTTGGCTGTTTTTCCCTTTTAAAAACAACTCACATTTTAAGAGGTGATGGGGCTGGGGAGACGCGGCCCTCTTCACAATGGTCCTTTCTGGGCCTCAGGAGACCCACTTTCCCCACCGGGCCTCGGGCTACCAGCCAGGGATGGGGCAGGGCGGGTACTTGCTCTGCTTCCTGGAGGCCACCCCTTCTTCCCGCAAAAACAGGACCCACGTGACGGGCAGTCCAAAGACTAAAGTGCAGAGAAATCCACAGGGCAGGCGGCCCTGTGCTGGGTTTTCCCAGAAGGGGCGGGAGAGGGGCTCGGTCCAGAGTTACCGCTGGGTGACACATGGGGACAGCTATGAGGCGAGCCTGCGGGGCATGGTCCCCTTTCCCTTGGGTTCCAGGGATGCTTCTTCCATCAGGGACTGTCCACTGTCAACAGCACCCCAGGGAAAATCTCAGCCTCAGAGATCAGGCCCACAAAGGGGGAAACGTGTATGACCGTCCCTGGTTGGTAATGACTAGTGACCGTGGAGGGAGAGGCAGGTTCAAGAGGGAAAAGAGTGTGTTATCTAAAATCAGTGAACCCCAGGTTTCGAGAGCGGGGATCCAGGAACAGCCCTAAAGGTAGAGTGTCTCCTGGGGAAGGTTGGTGGCGGTGGTCAGGATCCTACCAGTGAGACCTGCTGGGGAAAGGAGCACCTCTGGGTGGGGCGGCGCTGTAGAGTGGGGAGGGCGGCCCAGGACCAAAGCCCACGGGGCACTAGGGTGTGTAGGCCGGGGGCGGCTGGAACTGGTTGATGACTTCGTACTCTGCCGGGTAGGGCTCGTTCTCCTCCATCTCCGAGAGCAGCTCCAGCGCTTGCTCCTCCTCCTCCGTGGGGTAGTGGCGCAGGAGGTTGGCCGCTGTGGCCAGGATGGAGGCCCCGCCAGCACCAGCCACCAGGTAGAAGCTAACAGCAAAGGTGACGTACACTTGGGACCCGTGGTACTTCTTATGTTGCTGCTGCTGGGCCAGGATGAGTTCAGAAGCCCAGTAAGAGAAGCCGATGACTGTGGCACACTGCAGGACTGGGGGGACAGAGGGAAAAGGGGTTAGCAGGCACCCTGCAGCCTGGATACTTGAGGAACCGGCTGCAGCCTTTCCACCCAAACCCCATTCTCAGAGAACCTGCCTGGCCCCACACCCTGTGACGGGGAGCTTTTGTGGCCAGGGCTGGGGGCAGAGGCCTCACCCTGCCCAGGCCGGTCAGATTCTCTCTGTCTTAAGAATTTGGAATTGGGCTACTAGGGCTGCTGGAGGTCAATGGGCCTGAGAGGAACAGGTATCTGGAGTCAGTACTAACCCAAGTCAAATCAACACAGCGGCCCCGTCACGAGGGAAGAGAAGCCTGGTCTACAGGAGTGGGGAGGAGAGGGAGTCTGAGACCATGCACTCCAGGAAGACACGGTGTTTCCTCTCTGGCTGCTTCTGGGCCCCATGAGCCCAACTGAGCTTCAGATCCCGTTCTTGGAGAGCGACGACAGTTCTTAGAAATTCTAACAACATTTGCTCCCTCCAGCTCAGCCGAGTGGGTCTGCCCCACCGCCCCAGTGCTCTGTGAAAGGCCAGAGCTGGAACAAGCAGCAGGAACTGTGTCTGTGCGTGGAAAGCCCTCGGCCCCCACCTGCAACTCCAGAGAGGATGCCCCAGCCCCGTGGCAGTCGCTCCTGCACTGGGAGCGGCCCGGGCTTACCCGTGAGGATATGGGCAAAGGCATAGCGACGGGTGATCTTCAGGGCAGGATGCTTGGGCCCGAAGACATCCAGAAGGAATGCAGAGAGGCTGCACAGGATGCCCAGGAAGCAGAAGGCGGCAATGACCCGCAGGAGCAGGACTGTCTGGGGATTCATGCAGAAGTCTGCAGGGGAAGAACCAAATCCTCAGGGCTCCCAGGAACACCCTGGGGCAGGATGTCCCCACCTCGGAGTTCTCCCCACACCACAGTCCAGGGGAGCTAGGAGAGGACTAAAGGGTCTTGGCTCCTGCTCCCAGGGGGTCTGAGAAGGAGGAGGAGCCTCTATTAGCAGACAGGACCCCTGGGTCACTGCTCCCATGAGCCTCGAGTCCTTCCTCCCTTCCCATCAGGACTAGTCCAAGTGCAGCACTCCACTTCAGTGTACAGTGGACCCTTGAACAATACGAGGGTCCACTCAGAGGTGGATTGTTTTTCAAGAGTACTATATGATCAGAGTTGGTTAAATCTGAGATGTGGAATCACGGATCCAGAGGCCAACAATAAATTACACAAATCAAACACGATTTTCAACTGCTGGGAGAGTCAGCATCCCATTGTTGTTCAAAGAGTTAAGTGTATTTGCCACGCTCTTCTAATCATCTTTAAAGACCCTGAGAATTAATGTGACACATTAACCCATTCTGCTAAAGCGTGCTTCTAGCTGGCAGGAAAAGCCCCTTGACTTCTAAGCTGAGACAGTCAAAGGGACAAGGGCCAGAGTCCCATTTGAGTCCATTCTCTATCCAGTCACTCATTTGTCCCCTTTTTCATTCAAAAAGACACTGAAGGGACTTCCATGTCAGTCTAGCAGTTAAGGCTCTGTGCTTTCACTGCAGGGGGCATGGGTTTGACCCCTAGTTAGGGAACTAAGATCCCACATGCCATACAGTGCAGCCAAAATAAGTAAATAAAAAAGAAGCTGAAGCAGTTTAGAGAACCATATAATTACAAGAGAGAACTAAATACATGAGGAGAGCTGGTAGACTGGACCTCCGTATTTATTTTTGCTCCTCCCCAAATCCTACTAAAACAAAACAAAACAAAAAAATTTTTAAGACCTAGACTTGCACAAAGAGAGGAAGGGCAAAACAGAATTCTGAAAACTGGGACGTAAAGGGCCTCAGAGCTAGAACGGACTTGACACAAGAGATAAGCTGAAGTATAAGCCAGAAATGGGGAAAGCTAAGAAGCAATCAGATTTATACCACAAAAGCGTGGAAGGTTCAGAAGCTGACAGCACCAAATACCTTCTAAAACGAGGGCAAAGCCTTTGGGGGCTGCTCGCTCTAGCGAAAACGAGGGAAGGGACCAAGAAAAAGGAAGATGCTAAAACAGGAGGCCCAACATTCAAAGAGTAAGGAGTCCCCAGGGTCCTGGTGAGAGACCCCAGGTTGACAACTGCACACCGGACACAGCGAGCAACCTGCATGTCCTTCTGGGGCTTTAATATCGTTCTTGCTTTCTTACAAAAAAAAAAAATTTTATTCCATCTAGACTGCACTGTCAGTTCCCTTTGATATCTACGCAACCTGCCATAGTTCTAGAAACACAGACAGGATAAAGGCTGATCCAAAAAGAAACCATTTTAAGCTTTGATAAAAAATAGAAAATGGGCCTTAACTTCCCCTATTCAGCCACCAGCAAGTTCTTCTTTTACTTAGATCACCAAAATGGATTTGGAAAATCGTGAAAAGGGCTGACGAGATTTACACTGTCCACTCCTTCCCTGAGTTTGGATCTCAGGCTGAGAGGCCGCGGGATGGTGGTTATCCCTCCCAGGTGCACAGAGAAAGAGCAGGGTGCTGGCTGAGCACATGTGCCCAAGCTGCAGAGGTTCCGAGCTCTTGGTTTGGAGCAGGGCCTGGGGGTCTGAATCGCCACAAGTAGCGCAGGTGGCTTGAGCCTTACACTCCAGGAAACACTGGACCCAGAGGAACGTGAACTGACTAGAAAGAGTCCAAAAGCTGGGGAGGGCACCTGGGCCCAATCAAACTGACTCAAATCACCAGACGTTGACTAGCCTCATGGGGTCACCTGGACTGAGGCCTGGCCTCCCACACGGAAAAACCAGACCAGATACCCAGAGGCCCTGGGCCTTTGTGACAGCACACACTTCTGCCTTGGGTGCAAAATTCGCCAGGCAGATGTTGGCTGAGCCCACATGACTCATATGCCTTGATCTGGCTTCAGGTCACCTGCCAAGCTGCCCTCAGAGCTATCTGTCATTCTCCTGTCTGCTGACCATCTGTTTGGAGTGCACTCATCCAACCTGGGTGATCGCCTGCTGCCAGGAGGCCTGCCTGTGCCTAAGCTCTGCCAGCAACGAGGCTCAGCCTTCATTTAGTCTGGGCCTGAAGGAGTCTAGAATCAAGCCCACAGGCCTCTAAAACAAAAGTTCCCAGAGATGGGCTGCTTCCTGGCTGCACTGTGAATGCTGCTAAAAGCTCTCTGTGACAGTTCTTCTGGGGGTCCACGTGGCACACGGCAGGGAACTGCCAAGACACAAGTTTTCTTCTAGTGCCTCCAAGAATAACTTGTGAGTGGCAGGGTGGAAAGGTTTGCATCGCAGTCTGCTCTGCAGCAGGCTGGGTTCAGATTCCTCCCAGATTACTCAACATGGCCAGGCCCTCTGAGCGATGCTTTAATTGTGCTACTCGGTTTTAATTTAGCAACTAGTTTTAAATGAAAAATGGAACACCCAGGGCTTCAGAGATCCCTTCTTAGGTGGCATGGTGACTACAGGATGTTCATTGTATTACCATCCTTTACAACATACATCCACTGGACACACATCCAGGGGTCTTATGTTTCAGAATATCCTTAGTTCAGCCACAAGGAAGACTTCCGCAGATGTTCAGCTGCCCCTCCCAAGAGATAAACATCTTTTTTAAATTTTAATTTTATTTTGGCCACCCCGCATGGCATGCGGGATCTTCGTTCCCCAGCCAGGGATTGAATCTGAGCCCCCTCCAGTGGCAGTGCAGCATCTTAACCCCTGGACCCCAGGGGGGCTCTGAGACGACCTGTTGGCAGTTTCTTCTGTTTCCCTCCAGGTGTGCCTGCCTGAGCACACAGGTTGGGCAGCCTCACTCCACTCCAGGGGATTCATCATGTGGTTCAGATGAGGAATCAGAGGCTCCAGGAGGTTAAGTGACTTCCTGCAGGTCACACACAGCACAGAGCTGGCCTCCGAACCAGTGTCAGGCTCCCTGGCACCGTGATGCTCACCATCACTGAGCACCAGAGTCAGCCGTTTCATATTTCCCCGATGGAGCTAATCGATCAGATCCTGAAGAGCTGGATCTGAGGGAGAAGTCAAAAGGGACCGCGGATGCTGGCAGAGCTGTCAGCACCAGTGTCCGCTGAGCTTATTACGGAAACAGCTGGAAGCATGGATTCTCTTCTAGGCCAAAAGGTTTGGGTCGTTGAACGATGAATGGAGGTCCTCCTGGGAATCATTGAGCCGAACCTGCTGGGTGTGATCTAAGCTTCAGCAACCGTCAGAGCCTGGCTCTTATCTTTTTTAATTAAAAAAATACATATACAGTGTGATTTTATTTGTTTATTTTTGGTTGCTCTGGGTCTTCCTTGCTGGGTGCGGGCTTTTCTCTGCTTGCAGTGAGCAGGGGCAACTCTAGTTGTGGCGCATGGGCTTTTTTCATTGCAGTGGCTGCTAGGGTTGCAGAGCACGGGCCTAAGGCCTTGGGCTTCAGCAGTTGCAGCTCCTGGGCTCTAAAGCACAGGCTCAGTAGTTGTGGTGCATCGCAGATGGGATCTTCCCGGATCAGGGATCGAACCCATGTCCCTGCATTGGCAGGTGGATTCTTTACCACTGGGCCATCGGGGAAGGCCAGAGTCTTGACTCTTAAAAGCAGAAGGCAGGGGACTTCCTTGGCGGCCCAGTGGCTAAGACTTCGAGTTCCCAACACAGGGGGCCTGGGTTCAATTCCTGGTCAGGGAACTAGACCTCACATGCCGTGATTTAAAGATTCGCCTGCTGCAACTAAGACCTGGTGCTGCCAAATAAAGAAATATTAGAAAAAAAAAAATGCAGAAGGCATGTGAACTGGCCCCCAGTCTCAGTCCCACCACAGGTTATGCATCACCTCGAGCAAGCTGTCCTTGACATCTGCCCGCTCACCTGTCAGTGGAAGCAATGACACCTGCCCCATCTGCACAAGGGCCCTTGGGGGCAGCCAGACCCCAAAGTGCCAGGAAGGAGTAGCCTCACTCCCTCTATGCTGGGTGGCCCCAACAGTGTCTTCCTTGGCATGCCTTTCCTCCCAACACCAAGAACTGCCCTGTCCATGCACATCAGCCAGTGGGGGCTAGAGGATCAGCACCCCGGGGGTGATGACGTGGTCCGGAGAAGGGGCTTTGCACCCACAGTTCAAACAGGTTTTGTTTCCACCTGACTGCCTTATGCCTTTCTCCACTCCAAAGCTCTGAGCAAACCTTCCGGGTCAGGGGAAGGGGAGCCAAATGGGAACTTCCCTTGGAGTGATGCTGACAGATATCCCAGAACCCTGCCCCATGTCCCCCGTGGGCTCTCATCTGAGAGCACACAGCAGAGACAGGCAGCGTTACCCCAGCCCTGCTTAGAACCCTGCTCAGGCTCTCCTGGGGTCGGGATCTCAATGTCCCTTTCTCTCCTCCCCTGCCAGACATCGGTGTGGCAGGGAGGGCAATGAATATCTGCTCTGTTGAGAGGGCTGCCTAAGAGAAGCCCATCCTCAAATGCTATGTGTGTGTTATTTTATTTGTGAAGAGAAATGGCACGTGGAGCAGAATCCTGAATTTAAATTCCACCAGCGCTGCATCCACTACACTCTGGTCAGACCGCACGCACCCTGTGCTCCAGTTGTGCTGTGGCCTGTTTACTCTGGTAACCATTGCTTGCCTATCCCCTCCAGTCACCGGGAAGACGGCAGCTGCTATGTAATAGGATCCCACAGACCTGACTTTGCCCAAGGTCACTGGTGAGTCACTGCGCTGGATTTGTTTGGAAGGCCCCCGCTCTTCCTGTCTACCTGCCCATGGCTCTCATCCCCTCCTGACCCAGAGAGGCAGCAGGCAGGAAGCTTCTAGTGGCTTCTCGCCAGTTCCCTTCTGTTCCTTCTCCTATTGCCCCCTCACTGGAGTCCTTGAGTCAGTCCTTCCAGCATTCATTCACCCACGTTATTCAGCTGCGCCCCTCTCTTGACTGTTTAGCTTCCAGACAAGGCTTCTGACACAAGACTCCAAGAGGGCCCTCCAGTGCCCGGCTGGGTCGTCCCACAGATCCCGAGGGTCCTGGCCCAGCTGCCTCCAAGGACACGCCCCTACAGGATCCAGAAATGCCAGGTGCATTGGTCACCACCCCTCAGACATGCCAGCCCTTCCCAGAAGGCCCTTGACCTTCCCATGGCTTGCGGTCAATTGTGATTCCCCCGACTTCACATCCTAAACTCCCTCATTCTCCAGAGATGCTTCCTGAGCCTGTGGTCCCCGCTGCCCCCTTGCTGGGCGCACTTGAGGGGCAGAGAGGGCTTGAGGCTCAGAAGGAACGGTTATCTGGGCTCCCCTGCCGGGGGCCACCAGAGGTCTGGACACATCTCTGGCCCCCTGGCCCAGGCTGACGAGCTGTGTGAGAAGCGGGCAGCCCGGGGGAGTAAAGGAATTCCCGACAGGATCTTTTGAGCCATGGCATTTGTAAAAGCCTTCAGGGCTCTGGGAATGACAGAGGATGATGGGCTTTGACTCAGCCCAGCAACGAGAGGGCAAGAGGAATAAAAAACAGTTTTGCCTCGGCTGGTGAGAAAAACTCAACCAGAATGGGGAAGTAAGAGGTCCAGGACAGCTCCGATGGAGGAAAAAGTCTAGTGTGCCCTAAGGCTCAGTGGTAAGGGTGTAAGAGAGCAGCCTGGGCCTAAGGCCTGCGAGTGTTTGTGTGTGTATGATGGGGGTGATGACAGTTACCTACCAAATAAAGACGCTGTTTAGGGGACACTACAGCCAGGCATGAAGGATGCTTAGCGCGATGCCCGCTACTCAGGCAGGGGGCCAAGACACGGGAAGGCATCATGCCAAAGCCTGGTGACCCACTCCACTCCCCATCACCTGCAGAGAGCTGGCAGGGTTTGCTCTCCCTCTGGAAGCACCTACAGGCACCAGGCCTGTACCCCACAGCTCTGCCCTCTCCTGAGATGGGGAATAGCCAGGCCTCCACACTAGGATATCTGCTAGACCCGGAGGTTCGGCACAACCCTACAGAGCAGCAAACGACTGAAGGCCCAGTGGGCACCCAAAAGCCAACTGGTACAGAGAAGAGGGGGCTTCCCTGGTGGACCAGAAGGTAAAGAATCCACTTGCAGTGCAGGAGACCCGGGTTCGATCCCCGGGTTGGGATGATCCCCTGGAGAAGGAAATGGCAACCCACTCCAGTATTCTTGCCCGGAGAATCCCATGGACAGAGAAGCCTGGCGGTTACAGTCCATGGGGTCACAGAGAGTCGGACATGACTGAGCAACTAAGCACGCACAAAGAAGAGAAGCAATCAGGGACCTTCAGATTCTTTACCACCTTCTGTGATAGCTCATGAGGTAGCACCGTCAACGCCTTTATTAAAGGACACCAAGTGTTCCCAGCTTGCAATGCCAAGGAGACCAAGGAAAACCAAGCTGAAACCATTCATGGGTTAAGATCCCTAAACACATGAACAGGCAGGCATCATGTAAAGGTGAAGGCGACCTGCCTTATAAAAGATAAAATCCAGCTTGGATAATTTCTTAGAAAAGGTAGATACGTGTGTGAACAAAGGAGAACAGAACCAAGAATTTATTTTTGATGTGCCTTTGACAAGGATGTATGCCAGGGTGAGATAAACCGTTGTGAGGTCGTTCCTTATGACAGCTGAAGTAAAGCAAACATAAACGAGACAGCATCACTTTATACTGGTGTCAAAAGTGAGGTGCACTCAAGTCTGCTGTTCCCAGCTGTGTGCCCCTGCAGAGATCATTTCACTTCTCTGAGACACAGTTTCCTGGACCTTTGGAATGAAGACATGGAATCAGATGGGCCCCTCCCTCCATAGCAGGAATTTTACAAGCCTTCTTAGGAACAATCCAAAATAGAGAGGCATCATGAATTCCCTTTCAGATTGGGGGCTTTCCAGGAAGCTAGTGGTAAAGAATCCGCCTGCCAATGGAGAAGATGCAGGAGATTTGGGTTCGATCCCTGGGTTGGGAAGATTCTCTAGAGAAGGAAATGGCAACCCACTCCAGTATTCTTGCCTGGAGAATCCCCATGAACAGAGAAGCCTGGCAGGCTACAGTCCATGGGGTTGTAAAGCGTAGGACACAACGGAGCATGCACATACACTCCCGGTTTTGATATGACACCAAGCACTTGAAATATTGACCACCAAGGCCTTCAACTGCCAAGGTCTGGACGAAGCAGTGGAAAGTGGCAGCTGTGCCTCAAAGAAGGCAAGTTCTGGGGAACATGCTAACAGAAAAGTCACCCTGACTCAACTCAAGCTTGATGGGCTTTTGGCCACAGAGAAAGCTACACAGCACGTGGTCTCCATCCTGTGGGTAAGTGTTAGCATTAGTGGCTATGCTGTGTCTGACTCTCTGTGACCCCAGGAACTGTAGCCTGTGAGGCTCCTCTGTCCATGGGATTTCCCAGGCAGGAATACTGGAGTGGGCTGCCATTTCCTTCTCCAGGGGATCTTCCTGACCCAGGAATCAAACCTGGGTCTCCTGCATTGCAGGTGGATTCTTTACCATCTGAGCCACCATCGAGGCCCATAGGTATTAGTGAGCCAACACAGTGAAAGCAATCATCACGGTGATATCTGGAAACAAACCAGAAGCCCCCATCCTCTTCTCTACAAAATCATCTGAAAGCTCAAAGAGAAATGCAAACCAGCAAGAGAACACTCAGAGAAGGACAACATTAGGCCACAAGGACAGGGCTTTTCAGCCTCGACCTGCACAAGTAGTATACGATCCCAAGCACTCAAAGAGAACTTGACCTTTTCACTGAACCCCAGGCAGTTTGAATCCTTAGACAATGCTGAAGATACCTAGCAGGAAGGGGAATCTGAGACATGGGGCAACACACATCTGGAATGAATTACAGCCAGGAGTGGCACACGGAAAAAACCTTCAGGAATGGTTCAAAAGGCCTTGGGGGTAATGAACTCTGCTGTTAATAAGGGCTGTTTGCAATCCACCGACCATTTTCCCTGTAAAATCCAGGCGGTGCAATACTGCCCCCACACCACATAGCCTGTACCTTCATTACCAGAGACGAAGGCTGGGAAGGATGGGCTACAGGCCCCCTCTGCATCCAGTAAAGATGATGGTCTGGTTCCTCTTTCTTCTGCTTCCCTAGCCGGGAAGCACCATACTGAACAAAGCAACCTTACCTCATTTCGTCACACGTGTGAGGGTTCCACGAGCCAAATTCCTATTGTTTCACTGAGGGTGGCAATGGAACTGACTTTTGGTTACTGAAAATACCACAGACTCCCTTTTTCTCTAACAACAATCCAAAGACTGCAGAACTCACAAACATCTTTTAAAATCTAGCCGTATTTTAAAGTTCCTTTTTCTCAAGCTGACCCCCCCCCACCGGCCCAAAAAGTCTTCCTGTATCTCTGGCTCCTTAGAGGGAGACAGGTAATTGTGATGCCTAGCACCCTTATCTTTTCTCTGATATACAGTGCCCTTCCCCCAGCAGAAGCCGAAAATAGCAGTCCAGATTACCATGGCGTTGAGGAGTGGGTGCTTGGCTGAATAACATCAGAATTAATGAGGGGCCGGACCCCAAACAGAGCCACCTGGTGGGTAAGAACATCAGGCAGCAATGGACTGTTTCTTTCAAGCAGGTGCCTACCCCAGGTTATCTCAGCTCCAGTCCGCACCCTGCAGAGGAGGCCCGGGCTGGCGCGCAGCGCCCTCACCTTTCAGCAGGTCCGGGTGCACGTAGCCTAGGACGTCGGAGACCCCCAGCTCTTGGCGGGAACAGGTGCCACCGTGGATGTGCAGCCAGGCAGGCTCGGCGAGCGCGGTGCAGAGCGCGGTGATGGACAGGGCACCCGGCAGGGCCGAGGCCAGACTACGCTCCGGCTGCTTGGGCAGAGCGCTGCCTCCCGGGCTTCTCCGCCGGCGCCCGCCGGGCAGCCCTGCGCCTCCGGGGGCGTACATGTCCGGGGCCGCCCGCCGTCGCTCTGCGGTCGCTGCTGGTCGCCGCCGACCTCCGCGGGGCGCACAGAGCCTGCCTGTCCGGGGGGAGGAGAGCAACGTACGGGGTTCGTAGCAGGTGAGGCTGGAGGAAGGCGGTCAGGGCCGACCCCAGGGGGTGGGGGTGGGACCGAGGGCCGAGCAGAGACAGGAGAGCTGCAGAGGTTCGGGGGGCGGGGACGGGGTCCCCGGAGTGGAGCTGCGGAGGTGCGGGACGATGACCCGGAGAGGGCTGGGGGCCCGCTGGACCTTGGCAGCATACAGTAGGGAGAAGGGCTGGGGCGGAGGTATCCGTTGCTTGTGAAAGAAAGAGCCGGACTCGGGGTCCTGGCCAGAGGGTGCCCAGGGGCGGAGGGCCAAGCAGGGCCGCAGGGATCAGGGACCCAGGATCTGGGAACAGCGCTCTGCGGTGCGATCTATGCCCAGATAGGACCCACCCCTCAGCGACTCCTGATCCTCACCAGTCAGCAGGCTTCAGTGCCGGGATGGCGTCGCTCCGTCCCGGTCACGGGCTCCTCAGTTACCCCGACCGGAGCGATTTCAGGGCCCAAACCCGCAACGCCCGGACGGACCCCGGCCCGGTCCACTTCCGGCTTCCTCCACCTCTGACCCCGCCTCCTCCGGCTCCCCGCCCCGTTCTCGGCGCGCGACACTGGCCGGGCGCGCCGCCGGTTCCCTGCGCAAGGCCTGACGGGACTGGTAGTTCCAGGCCGTGCCGCGATGCTTTTCGTTGGAGGTGGGACCGGGGTTGGGGGAGTGGTGTGGGGACAGGACGACTACAGCTCCCAGAAGGCAGCGCGGCCGAAGCTGCGGGCGCTTCATTTCCAGGGTGGACCCTGGATTCGGGCGCAAGGGGGTTTGCTCTGTGGGAACCGCAGTCGGCGCGGCTGGCTCTGCTCATTTTTGTCTCCTCCTGCACCGGGCAGCCATGAAGGACTCGCTGGTGCTGCTTAGCCGAATCCTGGCGCACCCGGACTCCCGCTGCTGGTTCCTGGCCTGGAACCCCGCGGGAACCTTGCTGGCCTCGTGCGGCGGCGACCGCAGCGTCCGCATCTGGGGCAGGGAGGGTAAGCCTCGGTCCGGCTGCACGGGCCCTGCCGCCAAGCGGTCTCCTTGCGCCTGCTGTGGGTGCCAGTCACGGGGAGTACGCAGCCTGCGGGGCAGGCAGACCCGGGACGAGGGTCGCGGGCCGAGGGAAAGGATGGAGGGGTTACCTTCGAGTTGAACCTTAGCCACTTTGAGAACGGATTTTCCGGTGAAGGAATCAGCAGCTACCAGAAGCTAAAATGTCAATAGAGAGACTGAAACTGTTAGGGAAATTGTGATAGTTGCTGAGGCAGGAAAATGAGAAGAGAAGGAAGAAAGTAGGCTTCAAAGTAATTCTCAGAAGTTGAAGAAATTTAGATTTTATCCCAAGGGCATTTATCAGGTGGCGACTGCCAATGCAAGAGAGGCCAGTTGGATCCCTGGGTCAGGAAGATCCCCTGGAGGCCGGAATGGCTACCCACTCCAGTAGTCTTGCCTGGAAAATTCCATGGACAGAGGAGCCTGGCAGGCTATATGGTCCATGGGGTCGCAAAGAGTCAGAGGTGACTGAAGTGACTTTGGGCGGGCACACACACACACACACACATAGGTGATTCCTCAGATTTGTTTCAGAAGGATGCCTCCAGCTTTCTGTAACTTTAACTGGAGTCAATTAAAGCCTGTTGTTAATACACTCACAGAGCTTCGACCCCTAGCTTGGCTCTGACGCTGGACCCGATTACCCAATGGCATGGCTAGTGCTTCCGCACCTTCTTGTGCACCCAGCTCCAGAGCCTGGCCTGTCCTCTGCTTTTAGGTGACAGCTGGAACTGCAAATCTGTCCTTTGTGAAGGCCACCAGCGCACCGTGAGGAAGGTGGCCTGGTCTCCGTGCGGAAATTACCTGGCCTCGGCCAGCTTTGATGCCACCACTTGCATTTGGAAGAAGAACGAGGATGACTTTGAGGCAAGTACATGGGACCAGGATTGTTGCCTGTTTGATCCCCAGGGCTGGTTTAGGAACTTTTTTTTTCTCTAATATTTTATTTTTGGCTGTGCTTTGCGTGGGCTTTCTCCAGTTGTGGAAGTGGGGGCTACTCTTTGTTGCGGTGCATGGACTTCTTGTGGTGGCTTCTCTTGTTTTGGAGTAGGGACTGTAGAGCTCTTGGGCTTCACTAGTTGTGGTAGACGGACTTAGTTGCTCCAGGGCATGTGGAGTCTTCCGGGGGACCAGTGTTGGAACCTGTGTGCATTGCGTTGGCCGGCTGATTCTTAGCTGCTGGCCCACCGGGAGGCTCCTGGTCTAGGAACCTGCGCCGGCCCGGGTTAGGAGGACTGACCTTGCGAGGACCACGGGGGTCTCAGCCGGCACTGAGTCTTGTCCCCCTTCACTGTGCAGTGTGCCACCACTCTGGAGGGCCATGAAAACGAGGTCAAGTCAGTGGCCTGGGCTCCGTCTGGCAACCTCCTTGCCACCTGCAGCCGAGACAAGAGTGTGTGGGTCTGGGAAGGTGAGTCCAGATCCCTCCAGGTACACTTGAGAGCCTGCCACCGAATCTCCCCCCACCCCCCACCCTTGTGTCCCTGACAGTCAGCTTGTGTGCCCCCTTCTTTTCTCTCCCACAGTTGATGAAGAGGACGAGTATGAATGTGTCAGCGTCCTCAACTCCCACACACAGGATGTCAAGCATGTGGTTTGGCACCCGAGCCAGGAGGTAAGAGCCAGGTATCTTGGTGGGAAGGAATTGTGACGTGGAGGCTTGTACCCAGCTGCCTTCTGCTCTTCAGCCTCAACCTGGCTTTCCCAGGAATCTCTGTCTGTGACCAGAAGACATCAGTGAGTGCCTTTATAAAAGCACATCCCTGGGACTGTCCTGTCCTGGGAGGGAGAAGTCTTGGAGTCGCAGACACTCCCGGGCCCTACACACACGTACTGTGTTGTCCTTGGCCTCCCTACAGCTGCTGGCCTCCGCCAGCTATGATGACACAGTGAAGCTCTACCGAGAGGAAGAGGATGACTGGGTGTGCTGCGCCACCCTCGAAGGCCACGAGTCCACCGTGTGGAGCTTGGCCTTTGACCCCAGTGGCCAGCGCCTGGCATCTTGCAGTGACGACCGCACCGTGCGTGTCTGGCGCCAGTATCTCCCAGGCAATGAGCAAGGTGAGGGCCCACCTGGGAGCTGAAGACCCGTCTCTGCTGAGGGGCCGAGACACATGGATGAGTCACAGAAAGCTGGGCCCTTCATAGATGTGCCACGGGAGGGCTCCAGGGAAGGTGCTGGAAGAATCCTGGGAGGCTCTGGGGAAGGGGGGCCATTTCATCCAGACGGAAAGGAATGTGTAGCATTTTAACATAAGAGGAGACTGCTGTGATTTCCGGTGGTTAAGACTCCATGCTTCCAATGCAGGGGGCACTGGTTTGATCCCTGGTCAGGGAACTAAGCTCCCACATGTTGCCAGACATAGCCACAAAAGAAAAAAAGGAAATTCTAGATGCAAAGAGGACCACATGAGCAAAGGCATTGAAAGTAAAGACGGCCTAGATTTACACCAGGAACAGGGATCTGCATGGGGTAGATGGAGCATAGGGCATAAGGAGTTTGGAGAGAAATAAGGTAGGTTGGGCTGGGTAGCTGATGTTGTTTAGTCACTAAGTCGTGTCTGACTCTTTGCAACCCCATGAACTGTGGCATGCGAGACTTCTCTGTCCTTCACCATCTCCCAGAGCTTGCTGAAACTCACGTCCGTTGAGTTGGTGATGCCATCCAACCATCTCATCTTCTGTTGCTCACTTCTCCTTCTGCCCTCAGTCTTTCCCAGCATCAGGGTCTTTTCCAGCGAGTCAGTTCTTCACATCAGGTGGCCAAAGAATTGGAGCTTCACCTTCAGCATCAGTCTTTCCAATGAACATTCAGGGTTGATTTCCTTTAGGATGGACTGATTAGATCTCCTTGCTGTCCAAAGGACTCTCAAGAGTCTTCTCCAAAAAAGCAGGATAACTTGTCAGACATAGTCTATAGCAAAAGGGATTTTGAGGAGCAGGACGTCTCCTTCTCAGAACCCTGCTGGGAAAATGCCAGTCCGGCTGCAGTGTCTAAGGCAGATTAGGTCAGATGGGGACAGAGGAGTGAGCATGAGACCTCAGATGGTGCGGATGGGGGAGAGCAAGCTAGGGTCTCCTGCGGTGGGGCAGGTTCTCCCCTGAAGTGCCCAGGGCATGCCCAAGGCTCAAGAGAAATCTGTCACACAGGGGTGGCATGCAGCGGCTCCGAGGCCAGCTGGAAGTGTGTCTGCACCTTGTCAGGCTTCCACTCCAGGACCATTTATGACATCGCTTGGTAAGAGCTCCACTCCTCCCCTCCACCCTGCCCAACCATTCTAGAGATTCTCGAGAAGTCAGGGTGCTCTTTCACCTTTGGGATACATGGGGATCTAGAGCAGCCACCCTCGTGTCCTCAGATCAGGCTAGACTGTCTCCATGCTGGTTTAGCACTGGCTGGCCCCGGGTTCACAGGAGCAGGGGACAGACTTAGACCCAGGCTGAGGGTAGCTCCATACCATCCACAGCATCAAACCACCCAGAGATATGTGTTCTTGAAACTGTGGCATCATGGCTGGGGTTTTATGGTTTGGTAACACAGCTTCTCCCCTCAGGGAGTCTAGGAAAGCCATACCATTCACATAGAGTTGGTCAGAGGGCAGTTCTGGCCCTGAGAATCTGTCCTCAGGAAATAACCCTAAATAACTGAAAAACTTGATGGGCATCTAAGTTTTATTTATATTAGCATACATTTGGAAATAGCAAAAATGGACTCAAGTAAAAGTATGGTAAAATTAAGTGACCTGTTATATCAGTTTAAAAAAAAGTCAGGAACACTTCATGTCAGGGCAACTGCTTGTGCCAAGTGAGAAAAGTACAATTGAGAGTTATATGTAGTTTTTTAGGTTAATTATATTGAAAGAAACCTAGATGGCAGCATTTAAAGCTTGGGGTGATGTTTGCAGCTACATGTTTGTTAGAGAGGCTCTAGGATAAGAGACTTGTAGCTGAGCCCTCAAGTTTGGAACTAGAACCAGCCCCTCACACCTGACTTGCAAGGTTGGGAGGGAGGAGCCGCTTGCACCCTCACCGACACACCTGTTCCCCCCCACCCCCCAGGTGTCAGCTGACAGGGGCCCTGGCTACTGCCTGTGGGGATGATGCCATCCGAGTATTTGAGGAGGATCCCGGCTCAGACCCGCAGCAGCCCACCTTCTCCCTGACAGCCCATGTGCCTCAGGCCCACTCCCAGGATGTCAACTGCGTGGCCTGGAACCCCAAGGAGCGGGGGCTTCTGGCCTCCTGCAGTGACGATGGAGAGTTGGCCTTCTGGAAGTATCAGCCATCTGAAGGCATCTGAGCCACTTTGGCTTTGGACAGAATCGTGCTTCCTCAGAAAATGTCCTCAGACTTCTCTAGCCCCCGAGAGGACCAGGAGGAGCATTCTTGACCTTCCTTTATTTGGCCCTCCTGCAGTCAGACTTGGGGAGAGGTGCAGGGCCACAGGACCACTCACCCTTCCCCCTCCTTTGACACGGAGCCCCTGGTAAAGAGCTGCAGAACATCTGTGCATTGTACTTAAGCCAGATTTTGCTTTAGGGCAGTGTTCAATCTGAGAGCAGAGGTTAAGTATACTATTTATAATCATCATATTTTTATGTAGGAGGGATGTAGCTCAGCCCTTTCTGAGACTAAGCTTTATACAAATAATCCAAGTCCCAAGTCCTATTTTATGTTATAGGGACATTCACAATTTAAAAGAATTTCTTGGTGAGTCCTTTGAAGTAGGTCCTTTCTTCCCGTTTTCTGGGTAAATCCTTGCATTTAAGACAGGCAGTCAGTACTGAAATTAATTCCTTAATCTAGGTTTGTTAGAATAAGAGACCCCTCTTTCTCTTAGAAACGCTTACAACCTCCTGTGCCAGGTGCTGTGATGACAGCGGGGAGTGCTGAGAAATACGCGGGGAGAATGTGAACCCTAGCAGGCAGTTACTGTTGGCCACAGGTCATACATTCTTAGTGCGGGTGGAAACTGGGCATTGGGTGAGGGGCAAAAAAATCCTAAAGGGGCAACATGTGCCCTCTAAAGGACCACAGTACATAATAAACTGTGGTCTCTCTTAGATTTCCGCAGTGGGGGAGTGTGGTGAAAAGAAGCCCCTTGCAAAGAGGTGGAGAAACACTGGCAAAGGCAGGCAGTGCTGGGTCTCAGGTTGTCCTCAGACAGGCACAGCCGGGGGGGTTTTGATTTGAGGACCATCCTCAAGGCCATGGCCTTCAGTTCTGTACCGCAGAAATCATGACCTTAGATTTTGAAGACAGCTGGGGCAGTATACCTAGAGCCGTGGTTCTCAAGATGTGCCTGCCAGTCATTGGAAATCCGTAGAGTGCTTCAGGGCTGGTAGAGGCCAGCACTTCCGAAACAAGGGAGTGGCACCAGATACTGCAGCTGGGTCTCCATGCTTTTCCCTCAGTGGAAATACTGCCTGCCAGCTCCACTGAGAAATATCCTCAATAGAACCAATACAAAATATTGTATTAGAGCTCCACCCTTGAGCATATCGCATTCTGTCGGAAGCAGGCATGCAGCAGTCCTCCTGCACCCGGAGACGAGGCTGTCCTGAGGGAAAGCAGTTGAGCATGCGTGCTCCATCAGCCATGACCATGGCATAACCATTTCTACTTGGAAGAACTAGCAAACCATAGTGTTTAGACTTGGCTATTTGGGAGACATTTTCTGGGAAATGAATGGAATGAGCCGGTCACTTCAAGGGAAACTGATCGTGTTGCCAATGATAAAACAAGCTTTCCAGCAAAAATTCAAATTTGCGAAAACTCGTATTGACATCATGAGCTTGACATCATCTCAATGCATAGGCTTTTCTGAGGGGATTGGTGATGATAGGAACACATGTGGTTTATGATGAAGTGTATTAACATTTGAAAGATTTGCATAATTTAGTGAATGACCGTTTTCCAAATAACTAAGGCATGTTACAAAGACACTCATGGGCAAGACTCATTAAAAGTGTGAGACAAGTGGGTTTTAATGCAAGAGTGTTGCTCTTGATAAGTATGCTCATTGATGAAGTTTCATATCCACATTGCCTTTAAGAAACTACCACCTGTGTAGTGACATAGTATAGCCTCTATTACCTGAGAAGCCTATTTAGAAACTTCTAACTTCCTATCTGTGTGAAGTCAGCTTTATATCAACTCACACAATAGGTTTTGGAAACAGCTGTGAGAATCCAACTGTCATGCTGGACATGAAAGATTTACAAAAATGTAAAATGCTGTTCTTCTCCCTGAATTTGTTTTGGAAGTGGTTCTTCATAAAATGTTAACATAATTAAGTTAGTGTTATTTTAAAATGCATTTACTCTAGTAAATAAACATTAGTGGCTATAACCCAAATAATAAAAGCTGTTTGTGGAGTTCTTAATTTTTTTGTAGCGTAGAGGGGTCCTAAGACTAGAAAATTGCCAACCTAGGGAAATTACCCATCAGAATCATCTTCTAGTTTTATGCACGTTTATTCCTAAAAAGGGGCTTCTCAGGTGGCTCAGTGGTAAAGAATACACCTGCCAATGCAGGAAATGTGGGTTTGATCCCTGGGTTGGGGGAGGAAATGGCTACCCACTCCAGTGTTCTTGCCTGGAGAATTTCATGGGCAGAGGAGCCTGAAGAGCTCCAGTCCATGGGATCGCAAGGAGTCAGACACGACTTAACACACACACAACAATATTCCCAAAAAACAACAGAAGGCGAGAATCTGAGAAGAAAATGTATAGATGTGAATCTTACAACTGCTGCAAGTACCCAGCTAGCACGGCCTCCTTATGGGAGGGGACACTGCAGATCTCGAGAAAGCGCTAGCCTGGTCTCCACCAAAGTTCAGTGCTCGCTCTGCGCCGATGCCCAGGCACAGTCCCGGCCGAGGACAGGGCACCAACACTGCCCTCTGCGGGCTGAGCCGGTGCAGCCTGATTTGCGTTCACTGTACACAAGCTCACGGCTGAAAAACGACCCTTCGACTGGGCAAAGCAAACTTTTAATTTGGAATCACTGCAAAGACACATGGTTTCTCCAAGTCATTTTATTAGAACATGTGAGTCAAAAGGAACTACAAAGAACATGCCTCAAAATGCTGTACACGGTTTGTGCTCGACACCTACAGACACTAAAGCCAGAGCGTGGATGGCAAAGGAGCCAGGGAAAGCAGGAGCTGGGGCGGGAGCAGGTTTCCACCACTGAGGTCCCATACGCTGTACACGTCCCTAACTCAGGCTCAGCTCTCCTCTCTGTGCAAGAGTGAAGGCCTCTGGACTCAGTCTGAGTCACTGTCTGTCTCGGCTTCCTTCACATCCACGCTGAATTTGTACTCCTGGTCACATCCCATGTAAGCGTCACTCATGAAGTACAGCGTGTAGTTGTGGGCGCCGGTGGCCGGGGCCACAAAGTCGAGTTTCACCTGGAGATACAAGCAGAACTCAGGGCCCGCTCAGATACCTGCCCCCTCTCGCAACCCGCTGGGGCCAGCGGACACACTCACCTTGGCCTTCTGCTGCAGGGTCAGCCTCTTGATGGAGATGAGACTGTTGGACTTGGCGTCTCCGATCACCACCCACCAGCCCTCTTCACGTTTCTGTAGTGACCAAAAGCCAACAGTCAGTGTGTAAAACCTGATGGCTGTGACACCAGGTGAAAAGTTACAGAAACAGGAAACCAGAAAGAAAGCTTTCAAAAGTTTTGTACCAAAAGATAATTGGATACAGAATTTTAAACCAAGGTTTCTCATGTGAACTCAATTTTGAGTAGACAGGTGAACTCTATTGGTTCTGGCTCACTTCCGTGTCCCAGAGTACCTTCTCCCACTTAGCGCCTGACACTAGATCCAAGACTCCACTATCAGACATCTAGTCTTTGCGGCTGGCAGCTTTGAGTTCCTCACAGACCCTTTTAGGTAAAAGGCAGACATGCCAGAGGACAAAACATGTTAACATGGAGGTGCGTCTGCCAGCAGAGTGGAGCCAAAGTAGGCCTTGTGCCAGGACTTCCCTCAGCAACCAGTCACCTAAATTGCCTTAAAGCAAAAAAACACTAGACTTCCACAAAAAGCACTCACAGCCCCCAAATTAATCCTCAGCCTTGTGACATCATCACTGCTCTAGACTTCTCTCCCCTGATGACTATATGCCCTTGCACCACAGACCCTAGCCAATGGGCAGGGCCTTGAGGGGACCCCAGGAAGCCAGTCCCAGCACGTACCTGCGGGAAGAGAGGTGCGATCACAGGGCCCGTGACTTCCTCCTCCCGCTCCAGCTGCACCAGCACCACGACTGGCCCGCCACTGTGGGGGAGACACCCGGGGCGCCGTCACAGCTGTGCCCACTGGGGGCCAACCTGGGGCAGCCCACCTGGCCCGCGTGGCTCACCTGCGGATGGCATCCTTGTCCACCACCTCGTAGGACAGTTCAATGTTGGGGTAGCGGTTACAGAAGCGGGCCACGTCCGCAATCTGGCTGTCTGACAGCTGGAGCAAGGCGTTGCGCTCTTCGTCCTCCATTTCCATGATGTCGAAAACACTCTCCACCCCCTGGGCGGGCAACAGAGAGGTCAGAAGGAGAAGGCAGACGACCAGCAGAGGAAACTGGCTCCGGCGATTCATCCTCAGCCAGGTGACTCCATTAGTACTCTAAACTCCCCTCCCCAGTGACTCCAGCCCAGGCTCCAGCCCATGGAGAGAGTCCACTGGCTCCACAGGGTGGCCAATTTTATTCCTATGCTATCAGATCATCCAGAGAACACAGCTCACAACAGTCAGGCTCCCTGGCGCCTTCTTGGGTAACACCTTCAGAGAAGCCAAAACGAGATGTCTCCCCTCCCACAACCAACCCCGGTGCAAGACGCCTGGCCTCCAGACTTGGCCACCCAACACACCAATGAAGGCCCAGCTCACCTTGTCTGTGCAACGCTTGATGTGCTCGGAGGTGAAGTGCGGCAGCTGTTTCAGGTAGGAGTCCTTGGACCACATGGCCTGGGTGACCATCTGGGCCAGCTCCATGGCCGCCAGGGCCGGGCTGAGCCAGCCGTTGCTGGAGAGGACGTCCACACAGGCCTGGATGAGCCGGATGGCCTGCAGAGGGACAGACGAGCACGCGTGGGCAGGGTGGGCACTGCTGCCTCGCAGGCCACGCTCAGGCCCCCATGCCCCGGACGCCCAGTCTCCACACCTTGCTGAGGATCTCCTCAGTGTCCGACTGCAGCTCAGCGCTCAGCTGCATGCGGGACAGGTGAGCCTGCAGAAGCAGGTTGGTCTTGACGTGCGGGTCGTTGAACTTAGGGTTATTCAACTTG